AAACAAATGGATTCACTGTTAGTCAAGAAGAGAATTACATTAATTTTTATGTTTTGACATACAACTTAAATTGAGTTAAATAAATATAAGACCTGATCCTCTTAAGCAATTCACTCAAAATTAACTTTTCTAAATTCAGGCTTAACCTAGTCGTGGTTTTCTGTCTGGTGTGAGTAGACTATAAGTTTGAACTCACCTTAATCTTTTTCCGGAGTCAGTCCTTCCAAAGATCCGTCTAAGGCTATACAACTTTCTATGATATCGTGCAGTGTCGGACTCAATGCTGTCTTCACTGTGACTTTCATTGCCCCCAGGAAGGGATGTCAAGCCAGCATTCTGATTTCAAGAAAGTGTCCACATTGCCCTTCTCTGCATCCCATCCAACTTCTTGCACCTCTCTCCTTTCATTAATGAAAACAGAAATATTGTAGAAACTTTCTGACCACATATGCCAATGTTTGCCATGGAGAGTCAGGCTTAAATACATAAAAACCAGTATGTAAACCTCTGTAGGGCACAAAAATGTACAGAGCTCAGTTCTTAGCTTCAAAGTGCAGATAATCCGGTTGGAGAAGCACATACAAGGAGAAAATGAGCAATGAGTAAAATAAGCTATAGACATTTGGAAAGAGGAGAAATCCTTCCTGGGGAGGTGCTTAGAAATTCTGTTTCCTTTATTAATGTTTTCCAGTGTTTTATTATGAAATTTTCAAACACACAGAAAAGTTGAAAGAATAGTACAAGGAACACCATATCCCCACCAGTTAGATTTAGCAACTGTTAGTATTCTGCCATATTATCTATCTAAATATTTTACTATACATTTTAAAGAAGTTGCAGTCATTATAACACTTCACTCTAAATACTTCAGCATGCATCTATTTAAAAAGGACATTTGCCTAAAAACCGCAATATCTAAGGATATTGGAAATAATTCTCTAAAATCTAGTCAATATTCAAATTTTCCCAATTGCTTCCCCCCCACACACAAAAAAAGCTGGTTTTTACAAACCAGGCTCACACCTTGCATTTGATGGTTATGTCTCTAGCTTATTTTAAGCTAGCAGAGTTTTCCTATTTTTTTATTTAATGATACTGACCTTTGAAGACAACCAGACCAGTTGTCTTGTAAATTGTCCCAAATGCTGGATTTGTCTGACTGTTATCTCAAGGCGTTGTTTCACTTGTTTTTCCAGCCTTGGTGTCCTATTAAAACAAAGGCCTGATTAGACTCAGGCTCGGTCAGTCAGGGTCTTGACCGGAAGCAGATGGCACACTCAAAGGGTTTAACTGAAGGGAGTTAAGTGAATGTACTATTTGCAGACGTGTGGGCAGGCATAGGAAATAATAAGGGGTGCTGAAGCACCCCTAAAATACCACCCAGGACCAGTAGCTGAAGCTTTGGAAGACGGGCCCCCAAGAGGAGTCACAGATGTAAAAGGTGCTGCCAAAACTGTACCCAGTCAGGGAATGGGATGGTAGGGAATAAAGACCCCAAATCTCTCTCCTTCATCCTCCAAATTTCTGCCAGAGTCTCCCCATTGGCCAAATCTAATCAGAAGCCAAAACACAAGGGAGCCTGGGTGATACACTCTGCAGAGGGATGTCTCCAGGGCCATAGAGTGGGCACCAAATGGATTTATCAGGGCAAGTGAAGCATAACCCACACACTGCTTAAATATTTTTGGTTAGAATGCTTCATAGGTCATGCTGTGAATTTCAGATTCAATCACATCAGGAGAAACCACATGTTAGGCTGTTTCACCATTAGCCACTTGGTTAAAATGATGACAGCAAGACCTCACCACTGAGATGTCAAGGTATCTTTACCTTCAAGAATCAGCAAGTAATCCAAGGGGAGACCTTTTGACACCATGAGAATGTTCTTTTGCCCCAACAACTTTTCACATAATCATTTCAGCATCCATTAATGATTCCAATCTAAATCAATTATTTCATGAGGGTTGCAAAGTGCTGATGTTTCTAATTCTTTCATTTCACATTTGGTTGAACCAGGTAAAATTTTAAAATAAGGTAAAAATAACTGAATATCAATAATGTCATAGGTTTCAAATGAAAACATTCTTTGGGAAGAAGTTCTTCCTCTCCTCAACCAAGGAAAAACAACAATTTCTCTTGAAAAGACAGGTAGATTCTTTTCTTTTATATACAATTGTCAAAGTAAAAGTAACCACCAAACAAGAGCTGCTGCTACTCCTCTTTCTTCTTCCTCCTCTTTCATCTTCTCCTCCACCCACTCTCCTCTCCCTCTCTCTCTCTCTCTACCCCCTCCCCCTTTTCTTCACTTTTTTTTTTAAATGCCCAAGTTTAGCCAATGGGATTTCCTTCAAGTTGACACCTTAATAGACCTCTGTTAGCCTTGGAGAATTTCCTTTTTTTTTAAATACTATGGGATGTTCTAGGTTCACCTAAGCTAACTTATGTTTCCTTGCCCCAAGATGTTCACCAAAGAGCCTTGGTTCAGTGTGGTGGGAAATGATATTTAGTGAAACATCTATGCACTAGGTATGCTCTTTGTTACCAACGTATTACCAAGGTATGCTTCTAGGCTGTAACACTGTATAGATCCTGTATATACACATACATATACCTTAAATCAGAAGTTTATATTACCATTTCCAATTCAAATTCAACATTATAAGGTCGTCAGGAATAGTTATGAGGACCAACGATTTGAGCTGGCCTTGGGATGTACGTACCATATATTTTTTTAAAAAATAATTTTTCTGTAATAGAATCACATTTCCAAAGAAAAACAAAACTAAAAAACAAGAAAAGAAAAAGAATAAATTTACCAGTAATCTTACCTTTTCAACACAACAATTTTAAATATTTTGTTTAAGCTCGTGGTGGTTAGGATTTTAATAGAGAAATAAAGGAGGAGGGGGAGATTCCAAAGAGGAGAGGGCAGGCCCTAAAGTGTGTGTAGGACTTGAAACAGAAAGTTGATATAGAGGCATTGCTCATCTTTAGGCCTCAGTTCACACCGTACTTTCGGGTTGCGTAACATTTCCCCTCCTCCTGGCTGTCAAAATCACATTCATCCTTCAAAACACAGCCCAATAGCTTTCCCTGATTCCCCCAGGCAGGCGTCACCTTGCCCTAACAACGGTGCATTTCTGTGGACCTGACACCACTTTTCATTTGATACCTTTTAGAGGTATTTATGTACCTATGTTCTCTCTCTAACTACTTTTCTAGCTCCTTGAAGCCAGGAATGATATCTGGTTGTCTTTGTATTCTCAAAGCTCTTCCCTCAGTAGCTTACATAAGAGAGGCTTTCAGTGAACATTTGCTACATCGAATTGAGTTGTGGAGAGTCCTCAAATGAATCTGACAAGTTGGCACTATATAGTGCAGACCTTCTCTAACTGTTCTTTTTTTTCCCAGAGTGGAGAAAAAATTCCCTTCATATGACTATCTTTCACCCTACTGATTTACTTTTGAAACCTAGGGCTGATGTTATTTCTAATTTTGAAAGTATACTCAAGGTTACTTATTACAACTCTTTCGGTTGCCTAGTGATACTTCAATTTACTTTTAATACTGCTGCTAATTTTCGAGTAACAATTTTGAACACCTTTAAATAGAACATATCAGTTTTTAAACAGGCATATAAAGTGCTCCACATTTACATGTAAAAATGTCATTAGATTGAGAGGTGTGAAAGATGCTCTAATGCTTCACAAAGAAAGTGATTGAATTGCCTTCTTAGTAGACTGTAAAGAAAAAGACAACCTGCTGATATTGTTCAAACTTGCCATGACAGAGGCAGGTGGATGCATTATTATAAAAGACCTGGAGGTCCCTTTCAGCTCTGTGATTTTAATTGAGCTATATAAATTTACACAGTCCCATCTGTCTCAAGACTAAGGTTTAGAGCTATTGGCAGATAGTAATTTCAGTGATAGTTGACAACAGAGAGATTTTGGCTCCCATTTTCTTACCTATAAGATAAGAAAGTTGAATTGATTAATCTCGGTGATCATGAAACACTATAACTCCATAAGTCTTTTGGGAGTCTATAGTTTCTAGGATATTGACTGAGAATATTTTTTTGGCTCCTAAATCTTCCTAATAGCTGATAGATTTTTCTAAAAAACAAATTTAGCTTTATTGAATACCTTTAGATTTCCAACAAAAATATTGTAGCTAGGGAAAAGGATAAGAGACAGGCAGACATGTTGATAGATTACTGGACATGGATTTGAATCTCAACTCTTCTATTTACTTGACCTTGGGCAATTTACTTACCTTCAGTGTTTGCATCTAAAGTTAAATAACAGCTACCACCTCATACTCATTAGATTGGCTACTATCACAAAAACATAAAGTAATAAGTGTTGGTAAGGATATGGAAAAACTGGAATTTTTGTGCACTATTGGTGGGGACATAAAATGGTACAACCACTGTGGAAACCAGTGTGACAGCTCCTCAAAAAATTAAAAATAGATTTACTATCTTTCCACTTCTGGGTCCATACTCAAAAGAATTGAAAGCAGGGTCTCTCCATTTTACACCCATGTTCATAGCAGCATTATTCACAAATAGGCAAAACATGGAAGCAACCCACGTGTCTATCGATAGATGAATGGATGAGCACACTGTGTTATATAATATAAGGAAGGAAATTCTGACATGTTACAACCTGGATGAAACTTGAAGGCATTATGCTAACTGCAAGAAGCCAGACACAGATGGACAAATACTGTATGATTCCGCTTGTGTAAGTATACTTAGAATAGGTCAATTGATACAGACAGAAAGTAGAATAATGGTTACTGGGGGCTGAGGGAAGTGGGGCAATAAGGAGTTATTCTTTAATGGGTATAAAGCTTCAGTTTTGTAAGATGAAAAGAGTTCTGGAGATGAGTGGTGGCAGTGGTTGCACAATATGAAGGTACTTAATATCACTAAACTGTACACTTAAAAATGGTTACAATAGTAAATTTTATATTATGTATATTTTACTACAATATTTTAAATTGGGGGAAATTTTTAATAATTCCTATCTGTGGTATTGTTACGAGAGTCAAATTAGATAACATAGATGAAAGCCCCTGCCATGCCACCTGGCATATTGTGAATGATCAACAAATGGTTTTTGACATGCCCATTAGTACAGTTTTGGTAGAAAGAGGTAATTGGAATTCCCAGGTCAGGCTGCCCATTGTGCTAATTAAGGTTCTTGTTGTCAGCATCAGAAATCTACTCTGGCTAACTTAAGCACAAACAAAGAAAAAAAAAAGATATTTACTAGAAGGATATGGAAGCGTTCGCAGAATCAAAGGGAAGGCTGGAGAGCCAGGCCCAGCAAAGGACAAAAAGCAAGGCCACTTCCAGGTCTGTGTAGCAGGAATATTGCAATTGTCTTGACAGAGTTTTGCCCCTGGAATAGTGAGCTCCAAATGAGCCCAATCTCCTATTGTCACATTGATCAAGACTCAAGTTCCAGGGAGGGCATTCATTTAGGTTCGCTTGAACCTTACACCATCCCCTTGGTGAGGGGTGAGCAAAGCATCTTAACTAACAATCCCACCAGGATGCAACCAATGAAAGAGAAGCCACTCCCCAAAAGGAAAACATTAATGCCATTGCCAAAAGATGGTGAAGAGACATAGGGCTGACAAAATTGATATTGCAATTTCCACTACTCTCCAACACTTTTGCATTGAGGAGACACAGGAGGCATTTGGGACAGAAAAGTCCTACATGGAAGTACTTCTAGAGGTTCCCAAAAGACCTAACTGCTGCAGATACTAAAGTTATCACTGAAGATTGGACATCCAGTCAACCTTAACTCCTACTCTGGAAGGTTTTTCCTCAGAACTGACAGTTGTACCCCCTCGTTGTGGTGCTCTGTAGCCCCTCTCCCTCCTTTATCAAATCCTGGGACAAAAGCCTTCTTCTCCTTCCAATTCGATTTGCCATTAAACCCTGTACCTCGTTGGAACCTCAAACTCATGTCTTTGCCTGGATGGAATTTCTGGCTACCAACCTCAGTCAGTCTTCTGGGCCTTTGTACTGAACATTTTCCCTTTGATATTGTAATTCAGTTTAATTGGGGTGATATCTATGTCCCTCACCTCTCTGTGCCTCAGTTTCTTTCTGTGTATACTGAAACCTGGGAGCACATGAACAAAGAACAGCTCCCATCAGCTGTTGCCCTACAAAAA